CCCGGTCCCGGTCCATTTTCCGTCGGGACACGCCTCTCCATAGCCCTGCGGAGCAGCGGCGCGGAGAAGGGGGTCTCGCCCCATGGGTCCCCTCCATCCCGCCCCGGAGCAGCTCCCGATCGTGGCGACTTTCTCCCCGCGCTCCCGAGTCCGCGGTGCGGCTCCCCCGGGAGGCGCCTCCCTTCCCTTTCCCGGCGCTGCCCCGGGCTGAGACCCGGGAACTCATCGCACCCACGGTGGGGCAGGGTGCGGGGCTTGGCACGGCCGGGGAGGGGGGGGGCTTAGCCGCAGCTGCATCCCCTGCCGCCCCCGCACCCCTCGGGACCCCCGTCCTGCCGGGATGCGGCTTTGCAGGGGGCAGGTTCGGAGATCTGCATGGGCACTGTGGGGAAGTTTGTTCCAGGGCAAAACAGAAGGGAAACCATAAATTGGACTTGCAGAAGAGGTGGGGTGAGAAGAGAGGGGCTGCTGCAGGGTGCTCAAAAGCTTCAGATTTACCATTTCCCTTCTGTTTTGCCCTGGGACAAACTCCTGGTGCCATCGGCGGGTGGGAATAACGAAATATTGGTGGGATCCCTCCTACTGCCCTGCTCATCTTCCACCAGTGCCTTTGGCGGAGACGTTGTGCCCAGCTCGTGCCCCTCTGTCCCCACAGCGGCGGCAGGTCTGGGGGACACGGGTGGCATCATGCGCCTGCTCTGCGCCCTGCTCATCCTCCTGCCCGAGGCGGCGGCGTCGCGGACGCGCCGGGAGCTCGCGCCGGGCTTGTACGAGCACGGGGTGTACGACGCGGGCGGCTCGTACTGCGAGCGCGGCGACGTGTGCTGCCGCGGGCGCGACGACGGCTGCACCGTGCCCTACCTCGACACCATCTGCTACTGCGACCTCTTCTGCAACCGCACCGTCTCCGACTGCTGCCCTGACTTCTGGGAATACTGCCTGGGCATCCCGCCGCCCTTCCCCAAGACGCACGGTAGGGCCCGGCACTGCGCTGCACGTGGGGGTCTCCGGCCGTGGCACCTACCTGCACCACGGAGCAGGGATGTTTGTGCTCATTCCCATCTTTCCTGGGCATGGAGCGTGGATTTGCCTGCTCCCGGGTTTGCTGGGCACGTCTGGGCCGTGCACGTGTTGGCCGGGCCTGAACCCATGTGGGGGGCGAGCGGGCAGCACAAGGAAGCCTAAGAAATCCCGGCGGAGCAGAGCAGGCGCCCGGGTAAACCAGGCTCTTTATCCATGTCAGGGCATGCGGCAGCGCCGTGTTAACCCTCTCCACGCTGCCCCTTCCCATGGGATGAGTGGTCAGTGCAGGGGGTGGCAGGGACACGATCGCAGCCGCGCGCTCGGCTCAGCGCCCGGCTCCTCTGCTCTCTCCTGCTCAGGTTGCACCCGCGCCGGCCGCAACTACCCGAGCGGGGCCACGTACCGCGAGAACTGCAACCTGTGGTGAGTGCCCCCGGCGCGGGCGAGGGGCGGCTTGTGAGCACCTGCCCGGGGGTGCCCGTGCTGGGTGGCAGGGAATGGGGCCAAGGGCCTCTGCTCTGGCGACTTCCGGCAT